TGTGTGAGATGGGCGGCTATATAAACGTGACAAAATAAATAAATAAATAAATAAATAAATATACATGATCAAATCTATACACATTAAGTGCAGGTCTTGTGATATATTCTTATGTCTCTATTTTGCAGAAATTGTCCTTTTCTTGTATCAAAAGCCTAATGCTTTTAACAGAAGTAAAAGAATCCAACAACTGTACTCTCCCTCAGAAAGACCCAGATCCTACACTCAGAGACACAATGCTAATCTCTTGTTAGGAGCAGCATACGCATAGTCTCATGGCAACTGCATTATGAAATTTCTTACGTTTGGTCCAGGAAGCTATAACTACATTTTGACAAGAGTCAAAACACTTCCCCTGCCATTTTATTTCCTTACTAATACATCTTGATTGGACCAGGACTTGGATCAGTGACAGCAATTATCTGAAATAGCCAGACAGTCTTTTCCTTATTTTTCAATTTTTACATATTAAAGAATGTGCATGTAAACTTACACTCTCCAATTCTTTTTAATCTGCTTGACTTTAAAACTAGAGCATTATAGAGAAGACCGATTCCTCTATATGTAAAGGGAAAGATTTGGACATTATTTGCTGAATAATATTTGCAATAAAAATTTTGAGAATCTCACAGCTTGTGGCAGCTTTGCATTACAAATAGCTTCCTATTCCCCTTCAAATAATCTTGAAAATACAATTCTGTGAAAGGGCTAGGAATTCATAATAGTATTGACAACACTAGAGAATAATTTTTCGATTTGTTCAGGAGACATGACAATGTACATTTGTGCTTCCATTGAAGTGCTAGCATATCTGCCTTGATCATTCTTTGTCTCAATGCTATTATTCTGGATCAGGTGAAAGTAGTTATTTAAAAGTAATTCTGACTGATTTCAATGGATTCAAAGTTTGTGTAAAGATCCAGCTGCAGAGAATAGGCTTCTTTACAAAGAAGGAATGCCTGGATGTAGATTTCATCTTGTATTTCCTTTTAATTTCCTCAGTTTTTCAAAAATATGTTTGCAAGCTGGATCTCAGCCTATCCATGAAGTTTTAGCTTGTTCCCCCAACACTTATTAAGCACAAAAGGAAAAAGAAAAGTTGAATAACCACACATGTATCCAGGTTTATCTCTTCCTGCTCTCTCAAGCTCTAGGTCAGGGGACTTTCCTAAACCAAGTGCCCTCCAGAAGTTTTGCCTCCCAACATTGCTGGAGAAATTGAAGTTGATAATTTCTGGAGGGCACTAGGTTAAGAAAGCTGTTCTAGGCCCAAGCATTATCATTACAGGCTACAGGGAGTGGAGAGCAGTCTAAATGAGAAAGTGGAATATGAAGAAAAGAAAAAAGGCAGTGCTGTTTTGCATATGTTAATTCATTAAAGTGTTTGCAAATGGAATATGCCGCATTGCACGGATATGAATTTTAAAGAAAAACAAAAAGCAGTCAGAGGGTGGCAATTCATTTTACAGAGGATCATCATGTATCAATATTTTGTTTGGTACAATTGTAAGAGGAACACAACTTTCCCTGCACCAATTCTTCAGGGAAACCACAAGAAACTTAAGAAAACAGCATTCTCTGTTTTGTTTCCACCTGCGAGAGAATTAAAACATGAAGTGTTCCCCTAGCCCCATAGCAGCTCTGGATATTGTGGTACAATTGTTCAAAAGGGGGCAGCCTTGATTCCCTGCCACCAATAGCATTCTCTAGTCTTTGGTGATGCCCATACAGTGCTATTTGAAGGGCTTTAACACTGTAGAACAGTTCTAGGAGTAGATCCCTCCTTCAGTTTCATGTCCTTTCTTACAGAGACAATGTTTCAACGCAAGTATGAAGTCCCAATAGATAACTGTAGGACAAACTTATTTGCAGATCCTTCACCGTCCCTGGTCTGTCTCCCCAACTTCTGCATATTTACGGGGGTTGAATCCCAGGTTTGTCTTTATTCTTGATGTGTTCCATCTCTAACATCTGTGTCATGGCTACAGGAATGCTTCCCACCTCACCTTCTGCAGCTTCCCTCCAGTGATTCCCACTCCCAACCCAGTCTTCCACTGGTTCACTGCTCCAGCCGCTCCCAAGCTCCTCTGTTCCCCAGTCCCCACTTCCTGCCACCACTTCTGATTCCCAGTCCCCCGCTGTAGTCCAGCTGCCCCCTCCCTCCTCCACAGAGCGTTGATAGTAGGTCTCGCGGGCATGCTTGCGCTTGGCATGCCGGCGGAGGGTATTACGTTCTGTAAAGCGCAGTCGACAGATCTGGCACTGATAGGGCTTCTCCCCAGTATGGACTCGCTGGTGACGCAACAGTTCGCCGGATTCTCGGAAACCCTTGCGGCAAACGGGGCAGCTGAAGGGCCGCTCGCCTGTGTGGATATGCTTGTGCCGCTGAAGGTGCGAGGAACGCTTGAAGGCCTTGCCACACTCACGGCACACATACGGCTTGCTCTCTGAATGGGTGATGCTATGGCGCTCCAGGTCAGACTGATAGAGGAATGTCCGCAGGCAAATGGGACAGAAGTACAGCTGTCGTGGCGGTGGAGCAGAAGCTAGCAACTCAGGCTCTGAAGACTGCATTTGTCCCGCCAGCTCCACTTCCTGCCGTGACACAGTGTGGGGCACCCCTTCCGCATCAATCAGCACCAGGGACCCCTCGTCGGTGGCATCTCCCTCTCCTGCTGGACCCAGATGCTTAGAGTTTGGAGCAGAGGCTTGTGCGTTAGACCTTCCTCCTCTGTGTCTAGTAAGTGCAGAATGCAGCTTGGGACCCCACAGGGCAATGCTGTAGATCTCAGGATGGGGAGGCCTGTCTTCTATAGCCACTTGGTGCTGGGTGACATCACTGCTGAGCGGGGCCTGCATATAGTGATCCCAAGGAGCTGGGGGGCAACTTTCTATCACCTGGTTCTCAAGCCTGTTGCCACCATGGTTTTCCATTCTCGACCAAGTACTCCCTCCTGGCACCAGTACCCGAGCCTTTGCTTGCAGCTCCGCTGGATGCCCATCACCCCTGTCGACATGCCACCTGTGAGATGGCTCCATTGGGCACCAGGAACAAGAGTGCAATCAGCTACAGGGACATCGCTGTAGAAATGGGAGAACAGTAAGAACTATGAGGAACTACCCCCACCCACGAAATGCACACTATCACTTTAACACACTGTCATCTTTGCACCGAGTCATGAGAATACTTTCAAAATATTCCTTCCAGAATTATAGTGGTAAAAAGCACCAAAGCAGCTAAGAGCCCAGTAATGCCAAATTTAACTAAGATTCAGTGGGACTCGCTTTCATGTAAACTTGCTCAAGATACATCACGCCTTGCAAGCTATTACTAAACTTAAATTCTTCAGCACTTTTATCAAGTGTAATGCTTGCTCCAAAGTGAGGTAAAATAAAAGCCAAATCGCTCATTATTTATTCATAGAGTTCTTTCAAAATGTCTAGAAAATTGTTGGCGTGATAATGCACACAAGCACGGATGCAACAGCTTGGAATTATCTGTTCAGATAATATATTTTCTTGTGAATGCAAATGTCTGCATGCAAATGTTTGCTTTACACTTGTGAGCAGAAACCTACACATCTGCAGCACACCTCTGGGAATGCAAGGTAGTCATGGTATTTGCATGAACATCTGTGATTTTTTATTGTACTCACAAGAAAGACTTTGTTTATAATACAAGCCAATCTGGTATAGTGGTTACAGGTATTAAATTAGAAGTTGGGAGACTGTGACTTCTAGTCCTGCCTCAGGCATGAAAGCCAACTGGGTGACTTTGGGCTAGTCCCTCTCTCTCAGCTTTAGGAAAAAGTTTCCGGCAAGACACTTCTGAAAAATATTTGCTAAGAAAACTGCAATATTTTTTCTTGTATTCACCAGGAGCCAGGGCTAATTTGATGGGCCATAACATTTGTACCACACTTTTTAACCATCCTATCTTTTTCACAGTTTGGTACAAGAGTATAGTTAGTTTTTCTCCAGCTTCTAAAGCACACTTAGGGTAACAATTGTAAGGAAGTAGAGCAGGGAGCTACTTCAAATAAAATGCAAGAAAGTATGTGCTCCATTATGCAAAGAAGCAGCCCAGGGATAGAAGCAATTTGGAAAATTTATTTGTGTAACCTTGACTTGTTTTCTTTTCTTTACACTGAAGGCTTGTGCACACATACTCTACAAAATTTATCACACTTTTGCAAGTAGAATAAAGTAGTTTACAGATGTTACAGAGAGCGATGCAGATACTAAACTTGTGTCCTAATTCTCAAAAACTGTAATTCCCAGAATTACTTGGAGACTACTAACTCTTCCCAAATTGCAATGAATGTCATTTGCAAAAGTCTGGTTTCTCATCTTTGCTTAGATCTAGTCCTGCATATACCTTGAGACAAATATAGCAGATATCTCTCAAAGCTCTAATCAGGGGCTAAATCAAAGATCCTTTTGCTTTGGAGTCCAATTTTAAATAGCCACCCTCTTCCCCCCTCCCACCCCCAGTGCTAGAATATCAGTATTGTACATGTTTAGTGATAGAGTAAATGCTGGATTGGTGCTGAGGAGACTTTGGGCCAATTTTTCAGTCCAGCCTACCTCGCAAAGTTATTGTGAAAATAAAATAAGACTCCCATTTGCACCAGCTTGAACTCCTAGAGGAAAGACGGGATATGCATTTTTATACAGTCTCCAAGTATCTACTAATAACTTCAGATTCTAGTCTTTCTGAAATAGAATTCAGAGTTGCACTCAATTTCTGGTAATTTTAAATGTTTCCATTATCAGATTTACACTGGGATTTTGAACATTTATAAATGTTCAAAAAAAACCCCTCTTAATTCTAGGTGATTAATCTTAAAGAAATCATGCTGTGAAGTTGCCAAATCCATTCCTTTGCACTTTTCTAAACAAACACACATTAAAATCCAGCAGCATCCTCTACTGGAAATAAAGATGTGGGAAGGCAAAGTCAGTGAGAGAATGAAAATAGGGAGCATAGGTTACAAATGTTGCAGTCAATCTGATTTGGATAAGAAAGTCCCTTCCACTTTGCACCATCAAATACATTTTTGTTCACAGTCTACCAATCCTACACATTTCCTACACAGGAAAAGTCAAGGAATGCATGCACTACTTCCAGCTAAATTCACGTGACCCAGCTGTAGCAAAATACCCATTTTCATTGCTTAACCTGAACTGAGCCCTTGTCACAATCAGACCAATACGTTTTCTAGTCTCCCCTAAGAAATTCTAGAAGGAGCCCGACTGCTGTCTTGAGTGTGTGTCATTTCAGGCTTGATATTTTTTTTCCCCACAACAGGGGAGAGAGCACCTCTGGGCATGTGCTGAGTGCCTTTCCTTCATCAGCTGGAACAGCACAATGAAGCACTTGCGACAGATGGGTTTAAAAAACCACACACACACACACACGAGAATGTTTCCAAACAGTCTCGATCCGCAGCATCCCTCAAAAGGGGGAAAATGTCCTATAAAAATTGTATTTTACTTTTTAAAAAGAAATCCATTTTTCCTCTATCCCTTATTCTTTCAACAGGGTCGCCAAAGGCAGAGGATTCGTAGCAATGAGACTGTTTCTCATCCATCACAAATATCCAAGACTACCCTTCCCTTCCTCCTTGCGCCCCCAGCCTGCAGCTAAGCGGTCCAAGCTTTAAGCCTCCCCCACCCCGCAATTCTGCCTCGGGCTATGCGGGCTGAAGGGAAGGACGCTACCCAGCCCATCCAGAAGACCCGAGCAGCAGCTATTACCTGTTTTGCATTGTGATCTGCGGCAGCGGAGGGTTTCAATGGGCCGGCAGCGGGTGGGGAGATGAGCGTCTGCTGGGAAGCCTCTCAGCCCGGCCGCTGCAGAACAATAGAGCCTGGCTCGCCTTAGCTGGGCATCCGGGAGGCGTATGGACCCAGCCGAGGGACCCGGCGGAGAGAACGATTCCTCCATTCAGGAGCGGCTCCTGGGTCCTAGTGCTACCGATTGGTCAAGAGAAGGGGACACCAGGAACAGCGAACAAACTGAGTGGGCAGGGGTCCCCGCTGCCAGAGGCGTTGCCACCTTGCACCTTTAAGTGGGATAGACAGTAGCTACCCCTTCGCTTGCCCAGTCATGGTTTCCCACCTTACGTAGCGCTTTGGAAAGGGGAGATCTAGGGACTAAACATCATGCTAAACCATGATTTAACCATTTCTGGAATGAACCATCATTGGCTGGGTTTACACATTCCTTTACTGTATGCCAGTGTTTCTCAACCTTGGCAGCTTTAAGATGTGTGGACTTCAACCCTCAGAATTCCCCTGGCTGGGGGAATTCTGGGGGTTGAAGTCCACACATCTTAAAGTTGCCAACATTGAGAAACACTGCTCTGTGCCAAGACCAAGTACATCATTTAATGGCATAGTACAATATGTGATTCCCTATTTAAATGACAGGTAAAAGGAATGACCCCCATTGAGGTAAGCTTGACTCTTTGTTATTACATGGATCTATCCATGTAGTTTTCCTGGCAACTTTATGAAAAGGCTTTGTTACTGCCTTCCTCTAGAGGTTTTTGGACATCTCCATCCAATCACGTTTAGCTTATGAGTCCAGCCAGAGTTGGCCAGGGGCTACCACCTGCTAAGGCTCTTAGAGGGAATCTGAAATTGGCATTGACTATCTTCCCACCACACACAAATCAGCCACAGGCTATTTATTTATTTCGATCCAGACCATCTCTGGGTGACTCACAGCACAAACATGTCAGATTAAAAATATAACAGAAAACAGAAAAGGTAGAGAACAAGATGGTGAATCTCTACCAACGTCACCAAAATCAAGACAAGCAAATGCAACAAGGGGCCCCAAACATCTTAGCCCAGGGCCTGGGGAAACAGCCATCAGGGTGGGGCCCACATGGATTTCAGGGGGAACTGCATTTCAGGTCAGCCTGGCATGTTATGTGAGATCACCTTATGCAGCTCATTAAAGATTCAGTGTATTGACAAATACAGCCAATAGATTTGCAGGTCACAACAATGGATCTGGGTTGCTTCTGCATTAACCATTACAGGATTTCCGTGTTCCATATCCTGTACTCTGATGTGATAGATAAGAAGTTGTGGCCTTCTAGGATCATCCAAGGGGAGAGGGGCATAAAAAAAAGGTCAAGATGGCAGCCCACTGCATATTGAAAAGGAGTGGGGCCTCAATCGTGTAATTGCGGCCAGGTACTATGACATCCCCGAAGCGGCAATTTTGCTCTGTTTACTATGAGGGACACCTGTACATTGGTCTCTCTCCTTTGAGAATGCTGGGCAAAGATGATGATGTTGCTGTTGCTTCATGTGAATGCAGTCCTTTGCAACAGGAAAATACGACCTGTGCCACCCACCCCCTTTTCTTACAGCTTAGTAGCATGATTTGATACTTTCAAAATAAATGTAATAATACAAGAATATGTGTTCAGTTCTTTAAAAAAAACCCTAAAGGCAAACAACCTAAGAAAAAAAGCTGAAAATTATGATGGCACCTATCTGATCAAGATGGTAAGAAAAGGTTACAGTCTGTTAGCATTATAGCTTAGAAAGGTGAACAAGGGCAAAATATACAGGTAGTCCTTGCTTAGCAACCACAACTGGGACCGGCAACTCCATTACTAAGCGATGAAGTTTCTAAGTGAAACATCATATGTCTGTGATGGACGTATGTCACTTCCCATTCAGTTGTTAAGTGAGTCAGTGCAGGTTGTTAAATGAGACATCATGTGACTGTGACTTGCAATTCCACTGCTGGTTTCTCCATTGACTCTCACTGTCCGAAGCTGGTTGTGAAGCCTGCAAATGGCAATCACGTGACCACAGAGATACTGCAATGGTTGTAAATGCAAGGACTGGTCACTATTTTTTCAGTGCCATCACAACTTCGAACAATCACTAAACAGGGCAGTCATTAAGTGAGGACTACCTGTAATAGAAGTGTATAGCATTGCATGGGTCTGTACCTTCAGGGTGAAGGTTGCATCTTATTTGTCCTATGGCAGTGTTGTCCAAACTTGGCCACTTTAAGATGAGTGGACTTCAACTCCAAGAATCCCCCAGCCAGAATTCTGGAATTCTGGGAGTTGAAGT